ATGAATGGACGCAGCCTCTTGATTTATACTTCTGTGCTGCATTGGTCTGCCTTGTGTCCCTGGCCCATGGTGCACACAGTTCCCCCGTTGGTACTTGCTGGACCGGACTGGTACTTTCTGGACTCTCTCCAACATATGCTTGCTTTAGTCACACCACTTGCCCACTTGCCTGCACCACTTGACCACTTGCCTGCACCACTTGCCCACTTGCCTACACCACATGACCACTTGCCTGCACCACTTGACCACTTGCCTGCACCACTTGACCACTTGTCTGCACCTAACAGGGACTGACTCCGAAAGGCCACTTCTAGAACTCTCTAAGTTGGCCTTTCGGTACTGTAGCAGCTACGACTTTGCCCTTTCAGGTAAGTAGCAGCTACGACCTTGACTCTTCAGGCAGTCTTCAGCTACAACTCCGGAGCTGCCTAGACTTCTACCCTACAGGTCTACAGTTCGATTCCAGTCTATCCTGTGCCCTACGACCAATCTACCTACCACTGGCGGTTCTACAGGTCGCAGGTTCAACTCTTCGAGTTGACGTAGATATTATACACAGGTAAGTTGGGGAACTAGGGATCAAGCCCTGGGATCTGCCTCAGCTACCACGAATTGGTGAATACCGTTTCAGATACGGAGAGAGACAAGTTTTTTCAGGCTAAATTCGGAACATTTGAAGAATCCCAGAGTACTAGCTTGGTGTGTTGAACACTGCGCTGATTGGAAACAGACCAAAGGTTGATTTGAGTAGGAGGAAGAGTGGGCCCAGGTGGGGTTCAGAATGGTGACCTAGGCCTTGGACGTCTTCTCCCGCATTTTGACCAAGGAGAGGAACCAGGAAGAAGATGAATGCTACAGAATGGTAGAAGAAGTGGAGAGCCATATAGGTCAGGACCCCATCACAGACCTCTACTGGGAAAGAAGGGATGCTTGGATGAGTAAGTGAGAAATTTTGCAAGTGGAACAGCAAGAAGAGTGGGCGAGAAGAGCAGAGGAGAGGGGCATGGCGCAAATGGATCGCGTGTCGAAGGAGACCTTTCGAAGATTGTGTCCAGCACGCTCAAACGAAGCGATCCGCGCCCTGCTGCATCTATTTAATTCGCAAGCGGACCTGGCAGAAGATACAGAATCCATGGCAGAGTATGCAATTGCATACTACAGTGATTTTTTGACATCCAGGCGGCCGACGCACGAATCACTAGCTGATATGAAGACAGGAACGGACCTGTGGCAGTTTACTGACAAACGTTTGGAACAACACGAAAGATTCTCACTGGATCGCCCACTAACGCTAGAGGAACTAAAGGAAGCAGTGGACTGTATGGCGAGGGGGAAGGCTCCGAGGGACGATGGACTAGCAGTGGAGTTTTATACAGCCACCTGGCAGCAAGTCGGACCAATCTTGTTACGAATATTCAACAGGGTATTGGAAGGAGAGGCATTAACAGAAGATATGTGTAGGGGAGTCATCACCTTGCTTTACAAGAAGGGGGACAAGCGGAATGTTCGCAATTGGAGCCCAATCTCCCTGTTAAATGTCTCTTATAAGATTTTGGAAAAAGCTTTAGCGAGGAGATTGACAGCCTACCTTCCGAACCTTGTGCATGCAGATCAGGGCGCCTTTGTAAAAGGGAGGTCGATTGCAGAAAACATCTTGGTTGCTATGGGGGTGCTAGAGATTGTTGGGAAAGAAAGGAGAAGTCGTAGTGGCGATGCTGGATTTGGAAAGGGCATACGACCGGGTAAACTGGTAGTTTGTCTTGGCCACATTGGAGCATATGAACTTTGGTGAGTGCTTCAAAAACTGGGTGGCAGCTATGTATCAGTCTTCAACTGCGTGTGTTTTAATCAATGGCAGAAGATCGAAAACCTTCAACCTGACTCGCTCTTTGCGTCAAGGATGTGCTCTGGCACCACTTCTTTTTGTGGTCCAGATGGAGGTGGCTTTAAATGCAATCAGAGTTTCCCCGTGTATACGGGGCCTGCAACTGAGAGAGGATAAAGAGGTAATCACCGGGGCCATCACAGATGACCTCTTGCTGATAACAGGAGCCATGCCAACCTCGATGAATGCTGTGAAATTGGTGCTGGATCGCTATTCATCCTTATCGGAGGCACAAGTAAACTAGGATAAATCAGTTTATTTTCAACCCCAACAATTCAATCTGGAGGATGACTGGTCAATGAAACGGGTGAACTTTGAAGAATCAGAACGGTACCTCAAGGTGCAAGTATCTTTGGGCAATAGCAGACCAACACAAGATGCCTTTTTGGCAGCGAAGGTGGAAGCGAGAGTGAACAAGTGCAAGGCCGCAACAGGAATATCTCTGATGGGGAGAGAACAGTGATTGATACGTCCATTTTCTCTCTCATTTGGCACGTTGCAGCAGTAATTTTGATTTCAAGAGCCACACTGCAGAAAATTAGAGCTCTAGCTGCCCGTTATTTGTGGAAGCCTGATGCTGAACAGCAAAAGGGGTTTACCGTTTATCTCCAAAGTGTCGTGGGAGAAAATCACGCAGCCGAGCGACTTGCTGATTGTGACTGCCGAGATCGACTGCGAGGCTGTACACTAACCGGTAGGGGTAGATTCGTAATTTTGTTTGGCTGAGGGGGGGTATCTGCGTCTGGTCGGGCTATGTCGAGGCTCTACACTGTGTACTCGTGGGTGGTGGCAGCCATAGCTGCCTGTTCCTTCGTCAGAGTTG